AGGAGCAGGCTTGTCCAGGTCTTGAGGACACCCAGACCCTGCGACGCTATACGCTTTTGCCGGTTGGAGAAGATGAGATATTCAATGATTGTCGCCTCTTCCCGTTCCAGATTCGCAAAATCTTGTGCCGTGAGCACGACACCGTCGTGTCTTCGTTCACTGCGCTTGAGTTGCAGAATTTCCTTTGCCCGTTCTACGTTGTATATGGGATTTCCGTGGTCGTCTTCTTCGAGGCATGAGCTGAGATCCAGATCCTTGTAAAACTGTAGTGAAGGGAGTGTCTCGTCCCAAATGCCGTCTGGTAGTGAGAAGTCGTACAAATCAAAGATTGTGGGAATAGGCATGGGTTCGTTGTTCTCGCCCACAATCTGGCCATTGAGAGCCTCAAAGATGCGTCGCTTGAGGGATGGCATTCGGCTCTGCGAAATGCTGCATAGCTCCATCGATATGTACTCCAAGCTCATGCTGCGCAACGTAAGGAAGTCGATAAACGTCGGCGCTCCTTCCGTTAGTGGGAACTGGGGCATGCTAATTTCGTGCTCTTCCAACAGGAGTTGAGGTTGGATGACTACCTCGCGCAGCAGGAAGTGGAACAAGATATCGTTATCCCGCAATTCGTCAATGATGAAGGGAGCTGACAGCGGCGACGTCCACAATACGCGCAAAATACGCATGCATCTGCTCTTCAGTGAAATGAGCCAGTGACGCATGCAAGTGGCATCACCGTGAGGGCTCTCGAGAAGGAGCCTCAACATGCTGTGAAAGAGCGAATCTCTTGCGGCAAAGGTGCCATCTGGCGCTATCGAGAGCGTGTCAACGCCGCAGGTGAACCCGAGGAGAAGGTGAGCAATGGTAGGCTTATTAGGACTTGCGGCCAAGCAGCTCGACAAGAACTCGAGTATGTAAGTCTTGGTGAGGTAGTTGGGTGACTCGGCTTGTCCGGCGAGGTCGAGCGGCGTGATCAGCTCCGCGGCGAGAGCCCGGGCAATGGCCTCGTGCTCTCCGTTCGCCTCCAACGCGACGATGGCCTTGTTGCGGTGGCTCTTGCGGCCTGGCGTGGACGACCACGCAGAAGTAATCTTGAAAGATGCAGTCATCTTTTGCAGCAATCGCAGGCAAGACAGGGTCAACTCGGGATGGCCGAGGCCACAGTAGTTCCCGAGGTCGACAACCAAGCTCAGATGACCAACCAAACCGTCCTCGAAGGACGCGTATGCGGCGTTGGCCACAGGAGCCCGTCGGTGATTTGACTGCATTTTGATGATTGGGCGCACAAGATCAAGGAATGTTGCTTGAAGATCCAACACTTTGGAAATGACTTCCACCGCTCTGAGAATGCCCAGAATAACTGGTGATGTAGGCGCGGCATTGCCGACGTCTACTGCGTCTTGATGGATGGTTTGGGCCAGTGCAGCAATGACCTTGTCGTTGAACATCCACTCCATGACTCTAGCAAAGGGGTGCAGCTTGACGTAGGTCGCCAGATCCGTTGCGGCCATTGCCGAGTCAATGGGAATGTTTGTCTCATTGGCGATGATGATGAGGTTTTCGTTGAATGTCGCCAAGCAGGTTGCTGCAAACTCGAGGCAGCTCAAGCGAAGCATCCTCAGTTGATTTACATCGTTGACTTCGTTGGCCTTGTTTGCAAAAACCTTGCCCATGACAGTGTCGACGTAGACTTCGATGCCCGGCATGCGATTCGCCGAGCCGAGGTTCTCAGGGAATGGCAAGCCATCATTTAGAGGGCTACTGTCTTCCGGAGGCGAAATGAGCGCGATCAGCAGCTGAATGAAGGCGTGGGGCTCGTCGAAGCCGTGGCAAATGTCGTCGCTGACGGTGTCCATGGATACAATGGGAGAGCTCTGGGGCGATCGGTGCTGGCTTGGCGTCACAATGTAGGCACCGTTCATCCAGGCCTCCAGACACTGCCACATAATGTTGGCCTCTTCTTGGGTTTTCCGTGAGATAAGAGCGCGCAAGGCCATGAATGTGCCGGCCCGCAAATCCGCAGGGATCGGACTGCTTGCAAGCTGGAAGAGCATCTCGACAAGGTTGAAGCTGGGCTCCTTGAGGAGGAATTGCCTCGGGGCTTCGCTCTCGGACGCGAGCTTGGTAATGAGCCGCAGGTATGACTGCAACATCATGGTAGATTCAGGCTCTGCCTCGGCCTGGTCGCTGGTCGGTCTGCCAGGCCGGTATGTTGATGGCGCTTGGGGGGTCTGGGCCTTTTCTCTAATCTTGTTTGAGAAGAAGACAAGCTCTCTGAATATCTGGTGCCACGTGAGGGACTGCGACCGCCTCATCTTGCCAGAAGCATGGTGGCCTTCGTCCAAAAGGAATTCATGCGCGGCCGTGGCGCAATCCTCGTTGCTTGAAATGGCCTGCAGCATCTCGCAGAACGAGCTGACTAGCGGCGTCGAGGCTCTCCGTGATGCCCAGTGCATGAAGCCAGCCAAATTGCTATCGGGGTCTGACCAGAAATTCATTGCGGCATCGGGACGGCCCTCGTACGCGTAGGCAATGATCACCAGGAAGCGCTCCAGGTCGAGGTCCTGTTCGTGTGTCTGGCTAAGCTGACGCTGCTCGTCCTCCTCCACGCGAAGCTTCCGCAGGACGTCAGGAAGGTTAGAAATGAAGGCATCAACAAAGACCTCCAACTGAAGCATCAAGGACGACTGAAACTCGTCTGAGAAGGTGATGGAGTCTGAGATGAGCGGAGGCGCCTTTCGTTGGAGCCAGTTGCGCATCGTTATTCTTGACGGGTCGACCCACTCTGGCGTCTTGACATCTGCGGCAATGGAGAGGATGAAGTCGAAAGCACCATCTTTCAGAGCCTCCAAGAATTGCTTGGATCTCTGTCTGTCCTCCTTGTCCAAATCAACACCTTCCAGGCCACCAAGGAGCGAGTCGTCAAGGTACCACCCGCTGTACTCTGATAGCCACCAAGCCTTGACAGCTGCTTGAAGATACACCAAGCGCCAAGGGGTCGTCTCATCGGCCTGTGGGCAGATGATCGGATTGAGTTGTCTCGCCATGTTCAGGTTCGAAACTCCTTCGGTCGAGCCATATAGTGTGATGTACGCACCCAATGCGGGGAACAAATGCGCTTCAGCCCATGTCAGCGGATGTAGTTCGTTCGCAGAAGTCGTCGTACTTACCAAGAAGAATGTCATACTTGTCCACGTTGCTCAATAGCTGCAGGAACGCCTTGAAGTCGCCAACTTCAGCATCCCTCTTTTCGATTGCGCGGCACAGGATCATTGAAAGAAGCTCGTGCTGCTGGTAAAGGCTGACGCGGGAGAACTCAATCGTCTCCATCTCCTCGGGTACCTGACCACCTCTGCCATTGATCAGTACGGCTGCAGCCGTCAGTTTGTCGGCAATCTTCTGGAGCCATGTCCTAACATCCTGGATCGCCGACATGCACTTTGGAATCAGCCTCTTTTGCGAAGAAGCCGTCTCGCCTGGCAGGCTTTGAAAGACGGTCGCGGACAGATACATCTGCACACCATTGAGAATCTCGGGATCAACCTCGTCGTCGTCCAGCGCATCAATCTCAAACATGAGCCGAATACTGTCGAGGGTGTATCTTCGTTGTTGGTGAACCCTGATCAAAGCGCATTCGAGCAGTGGGCGAGCGATGGCGATGGGATCATCCTCGGAATCCAATAGGCATCGCATGGCATCGATTTCGTTTATTTCGGCTTCGTCGGCGAGGCTGAGGACCAATTGCTGAAACTCGTCGTTGACGGCATATTCCTCCTCGTCAATCACAACCTTGCCTGGCGCATGGAGCTGTGTCAGTGTACACGTTTAAACAGGGAAGCTACAGAGCTTCAAACCAACCTGACTTGACAGCCTGACGGCTCTTCTCATCTCTTGCAGGCCGTTGCCATGTTTTTTCGAGCTCCCTTTCGAATATGGCTTGGATAACGGGGTTGTCCAAGGAGTCAACGCCTTCGGGACGACCATCGCGAATGGCAGCCAAGTCGCGGTGGAAAGCCTGCAAAGCTTCGAGGGTATTCGGTTCGGCCATTTTGAGGTGCTGGGCGCGCTATTGCATGGCCTCAAAAAGCTGTTGATGTCATGAGATGAGGGGAGGCCGCGAAGCTGTCGCGTTGGCGAAAGGCGACCGGATCTGCTCGTTTGTCCGGTCGTGAGTGGTCTGCGCGGGCGACGCTTTTCGAGATGCCGGGAAATTTAGTGTGGAGCTCAGCAGCGACGAGAGGTGCTTGTCCTTCAACCTTGGAAGTATGGCTTGCCGCAGGCGCGTGAACGGCCGGTGCTGTCAGTGTCCATGGTGGTGGGTGCCTGGACTTCCAGTGTCCAATTGGGTGCATTGGCGGCTGCTGTGTCGAGAAAAATTCGCGGCCCCTCCAGATGTTCCGCGCCGAAGTCAACAAGAGACGTACCTAAGCTATCCGCCTCGGGTAGGTGGTGAAACTTTCTGCCGTAATTTGCTTGCAGTTGGGCAGGGACCAGGGAAAGTCGCAAGCTGAAGGAAGGAAGGTACCTGAGGTGGCGCAAGGAGCTCTCCAGGTGCTGTAGGAATCTATCTGTGAAGGAGCTTCGTTGCAGGCTATGAAGTGCTGCGTCTCACCGAATGATCTTCTGGAAGCTCATCAAGTGTCATACCTGAGCTTTGCGCGACACATTGACCCTTTTTGATAAGTCAGCCACATGCCAGCAAATGATCACCTCGTGGTATCATTGAGACTTGTGAGCTGCTACTGCTGCACTTGAAGCTCCGTCGCGACTACTTGATACCACAATCACCACGCTTACGCCTGCCTCAACAGCACGCTCATGACATTCAACATTAAAAGGTGCACTCAAACCTTTTTTTCAGCAGGCAGGAAGGTACATTCACTGCAACCTTGCTTTTCATCCTCGCGCTCTACCCTCGTTTAATCTTGTGTCCGAGCCTATCAACTCTGTTTACATTCGTTTGGGAATAGTTGTTCACTGACGAGGCCATAGGACGATGGCATACAACAACAATGGCGCCTCCAAAGATCAAGACGGGGGACGTTACTGTTAATGATGCGCTGGGTTAGTAACACTGCTGCCATGCAATTTCACAACTGACAGCGCAGCAGATTTAATCGAGGGGGGCAACCTCAGAGAGCGTTCTTCTGGTTTGGATGGTGAGTCTCTCCTTGATGACAACAGTGGACTGCTCAGGACCAGAGATGTTGAACATATGGCAGACCTGATTTATCTTCTGGACAAAAAGGGCAAATCGGCCAGTTTGTAAGGAATTCCCCCTATCACTGATCCATTCTTGGCCTTGGTTGACGAATGTTGTAGATCCACCCTTCGCGACAAGCACTACCATCGCATACTTGAGATCCTCTTCAAATGTGCCATCAGTGAGAAGAAGACCTACACCGGGGGTAAGCGGACGACGGCTGCAGGAGCGGGAGGCAGATTGGGCAAATGCGCCGAGGCCCTTCGGCTTGCTGTTGGCCACGGAGCTTCTGCCAGCAAGCTCAAGAGAAAGACGATGCTTGCTCTCATCGACCACGTCACCCAGGCTCTACCCTGCCCACCTGGATCCGGGGACGGACCGTACGTGGAGCCACTGTTGAAAGACTATGTCAAATCCATCCTCGCCCTGCTCTCCCATCAGGCGAATGTCGAGCAGCTTGCTACACTGGATGCGGCCGGATGGAAGAACTGTGTCGACTTCTGCGTCGATGCCGTGCGGGTATATCTCGATCATGCTGACAGAGACTCCGGCTCACGGGGATCTCCAGCACCGGGCACGGCATCTTTGGGCTTCTCTACTGGAAGAAGCACCAATGCTAGCCAGAGGATGCCGGGTCAAATCCATCGCGGTACCGTACAGGACCTCATTCATTGCATCCACCTCCTCGTCCGCCCGCCAAATGCGCCGCTTCACGAAAGATCTATTGATCTATCCGAGACGATCATCCAGGTACTACAGCTACGCCACCTTGGGTTGAGCCAAGTGATTCAGCTGAGCTTTGCTTCAATCAACAAAGTCTTTGTCGAGATTCAAGCAAACGACATCTCTCGGGCTGCCAGCTTGGCCAGAGACCTTGTGCCACTGATAAGTCATTGGTGGCAGGCGCGAACAGCATCTCAAGACGGGATGCTCAATTCGATCCGGGACGAGATGCTGAAAACCATGTTGATCATCCACCTCCATCTTGAGCGTCTTGTATGCCTCGAGGGTGACGATACAGCCCGCAAAGAGATAATAGGACTCGCCGATTCCCTATGGCTGGAATACTCGCGGCGAACCAAACATTCCCAGCTTCAACTCGATGATCTCACATTCGTCCCCCAGAGGTTGCCCGAGGACTATTTCACACTAGAGGTCTTCGGCCTTCGTATACACAACCGGGAGGGAGAGCGAGGATGGGCTTTGTGTCAGAACCTCGCCATCTTGGAGCGAATCATTTGGAAGAGCCGCAACAAGGATATATCACAGTCGTCAGAGGAGCAACCGCGAAAAAAGCGCAAGACTCACGCTGCAGCGACGCGTTTGCAGGAAAAACTGCAGTCACCCAACTCGGCAGCACGGATACTCGCCTTGCAGCTCGTGCCTTTCCTTCTTCAATTAAACACTTTCTCTGTGGCTGAAGTGTCGGATCTTGTTATTGATCTCGCCGGCCTTGCTGGCGATAAGGACTCCACGGTAGTATCTTGGGCTATGCTCGCTTGCTCCAGGTAAGGCGCCTCTAAACTGTGTACAACTAAGATCGCTAAAGCTAAGGACGCAAAGCTCCGCAATATCACAGGTCAAGTCGGCCGATAATTCAGACTCATGGAGACAGCTATGGCAAGTAGCTTCTCGAGCAGTCGGTCTTCCTAGTACCAGTCGTGCTGCCAGCGTACTCTTGCACACTGTCCTTGAAAGAAACCTTGTACTTTACCACGATGTTTCCGATGGCATCAACAGCATTGTCACGACTGCCGACGCCAACGGCCCAGCCCTCTTGGTGGACTCTTCCATTACCCTCATGTTTCATTTACGGTCCCTCAGAAACGTCAAGCTGCCCAACGCAAGCCAGTCAACAAATCATCACGTTATTCGATGGATATTCCAGAGATGGAATCCAGGTACGTCGTTCTACAAGCTGGAGCTATTCACCAATCTAACCTTTCTCAAGCCGACTGGAGCTATGCTCGCGACTGCTCTATCCACGCTCCGATTAATGAACTTGCCAACCTGATCCGGGCTTGCTGTGGCGCACGAGTTTTGACACCGACACCTTTGACAGTGACCGGAGGGTCCATTTGCGAGGTGTGGAAGGCACAGTACCACACAGCAGTCCTAACACGATACCTCCTGCTGCTGGACGCACCACCAGCATCGAAGCCACGCACCCTCCTGAGCTGTCGTTCGAGCACTTCCGAATCAGTCCAGGCCAACGATGCCTCTTTTCATGCCGCAAAGAGACTAGTATTGGAGCTCCTGTTCCCAAAGGTCGAGGAGTTGCAGGACCTCTGTGACTCGTGGGCGAGAAAGGGGTCAGAGGGAGGCGCTCCCATGTCTTCAGACCGACTTTACAGTCTCTTCTCTGCAAATATCATAGGCATCCTCCTTGCCAGCCAGCTTGTCGACTTGAACTCGGGTCAGTCACGAGATATCGAAAGTCTCCTGGCCAAGCTTTCCGAGGCCAGCATAAGTGCTGCTTCGAACTCGAGTGACAACACAAGTTTCGAGCTTCTGTTGAGAACAATACGACCGGTGCTTCCGTCACTTAACACAACGGGCATCAACAGCCTCGAAGAACATGCTCCACTGTTGAGGCTGATCTCGACACTGACAGCAACCGTGGAAGAGAGATCCTTGCGGCAATCCTCGGGACAGGACCAAGATCTTATGGATGTGGACGATGATTTCGACTCACAGGAGAGCAGAGTCAGCGTTACGCTATCCGAAGTCCCCCGCTCGAACATCTCATTGAGCCTGGATGGAGAAGCATTCATACATGAAACTATACAACGTCTATACCATTTTGCATCGATGCATAAAGACAACGGGAAGGTGTTCATGGAACAGCTTCTGTCGCTCCCTGACAAGGAGTTCATGTTGTGTAGCACCTTCACCTCAGAGCTCTTCGAGTCTGACTTGCCGATCAGTGAAGAAGATGCGATCGGTGTCGTTGAAAGAACAGGCGACATCATGGGTGAGCCCGAATACTCCTGTTGCGAAGTAGCTCACTCGACCAGCTTGAGGATTCTGCAAAGCCTCATGCCGGTCTATAAGGACGACCAACAGCCCGTGGCCAAGATGTTCGGCGACTTGTACCATCACTTTGTCAGCAAATATTTGCCCAATAACCTCCTTTCCCCACTGTCGCAGATGTCTCTCTCGAGCTTGCTGCTTGCGCTTTTGAGGACCAACCCACAGTATGGGAGCAATCTTGGCCTAGACTCTTGTCGAACGACTTTATTGTCAATCATGCAAAGCGGCACGCTGCCCGTCAAGTTCTTCATCGGGTCCGCTTTGCCGGACGTATTCAGCTCCTACGTACTTAAGATGCATGACGATATCTTTCTTGACGTTCTGAACAGTCTTCCTACCAACTCCCAAGACCTCGAAGGCATCGCGTTCCGCCTCTTTGTGCTGTCTCAGCTCGCATGCCGCTGGCCAACCCTGCTCAGGAGATGCACGTATCACATCTTCGAGACGCCGGGGAATATCATGCAGTCCAGTCAGTATGCCAAACGGTGCCTGGAAACGGTTTCGCAAGCCCTTTGTCTGTCCTCTTCTCAAGAGTTATTCAGAATATTTAGCCCCCAGCTGCTATACACATGGCTTGCGCCCCCCGCAAACGACGAAAACGGCCCAGCCATCAACAAAATCGAGGACATACCATATGAGATTTTTGGCTTTCCGACTCTTAATGGCCTTCTACAGGAAGCGCAGACCGAGACGACAGCGTTGCAGATAATGCGCCATCGCTACAAAGACGTCGAGTCTCTTTCCAAGCGCCTGGGTACCTCCCTGGTCGACATGGTGACGCAAGGATTCACAAAGATCATGGCATACGCTATCGCACATGAGCTCAGCACGCCTATTTCTAAAGGCGAAAAAGTCGAAACCGGCGAGACGTGGGTTCGGACGCTTTTGGGTAACGAACCATTCCTCGATCAAATTTATTTGAACTTTGCCGACATTGTTGCCTTGTTGCTGGATCTTTTCGACCAAGAAGACCCCATCGAGAAGCATCTCTCTAGAGACAAGAGCTTTGAATACGCCTGTGAGGCACTGGACGAGATGAAGCAGTTATCTCAGTCGACAACCGCCCTACCGCCTAATCAACAACCCATGTTCAGGGCCAAATACCTCACCAGAGAGCTGTTCCATGTGTGTCGCCTCACGGAGTACGAGCTACAAGAGCTCTGGACACCGGCTTTGGTTGTCTCGGTCGCCCGGAGAATTTTCAATACTGTCCACCCTGCCTTGGGCTCGTTTCACGCCTGCTCCGTGCTGCGCAAGGTCAGAGTTTTGATTTCTCTTGCCGGCCCTGTCGCGTTGGAATCTTATCCTCTGGAAATGCTACTTTCGTCCGTCCGGCCGTTCATTGTGGACTCGGAATGTGCCGACGATGCACTTGGTGTGAGTCGGTATCTCATCACGAAAGGGGCTTACCATCTCGAGCAAACCCCATCCTTTCTCGCTGGTTACGCCTTGTCTACTCTAGCATCTCTCAGAGTTTTCCTCGAGTCCAGTCAGTCAAGTACAACCCAAGAAAGTCAATTCAAGGCGACCATGAGCAAAGCCCAGACTTTCCACTCATGGTTCAGTTCCTATCTCACTGGCTACGACTCGAATAACTTTGGCGATGAGCAGCAACGGGAGGCATTCCGACTGATTACCCAGTCTGCATCCAAAATTCGATCTTCAGGAAACGCCGAGAAGGGCACGCACGAGAGCACTCTGCTGATGGAGATCCTCAGGGATGGCGAACGCGAGTCGAAGCTTCTGAACGAGGCAGCTCGTAATCTAGCACTCGGTTTATTGTGTGGAGATTTCGCTGTGCCCACCACAGGTCGTCAAGATGTAATTTCCGACGATGAGGAGGCCCTACGGCACACCGGACTTGTGTGGAAGAGCTGCAATGCGTTAGCTCTCAGTGACGAGTATCTCGCCTGGGCAGGCCGCGTTATGGGCAGGTCTTTCGCCGCTTCAGGAGAAATTCAAGCTGAACTTCTGGAAGAGTCCGAGCTATCACAGTACAGCAGGATTGCACCAGGAGCTAATGACTCCGAGAAGGGACTGCTGAGTCTACTGCAACAACTTACACAGAGCAAAGAATCTGCCATCGGAGGCTTGGCCGAATCGGCTTTGAGGGCAGTCGTATCAGAAGCAGCAGCGCAGGAGGACGGTGCGTTAATCTCTGCCGCCCAGCAGATCTTGACAGAATCCTTGTGCTTGGCCTCCGCTTGGGCTCAATATCGCACGCCTCCTTCCGACTTTGTCCTGTCCCCGATTGTTCCTGATTCGCAGGTCTTCTTCCGGGATCACGTGGAGAGTTCTGATTGGGTTCAGCAGCTCGCTGTTTACCTTGCGCAGTCGGTTTCCGAGTACATTGTCCTAAGCGCGCTGGTGCCAATTCTCAAGAACGTCAAAGGTTTTGCCCAAGATGCATTTCCATTCATCGTCCACCTGGCCTTATACAGTCAACTGGATAAGCAACCCCACATCAAGCGCAACTTGTCGGAAGCCGCCAAAGAGTGGCTCAAGATCGAGGATGATGCTGCGCGGACGAACCAGAAGCAGCTGATCAACACAATACTATACCTCAGAACACAGTCCATTCCTCAGGAGACATCCATCGCGGACCGGGCATTGTGGCTCGATGTCGACTTCGCTGCCGCTGCCGCTGCCGCCTCGCGTTGCGGTATGTATAAGACCGCCTTGCTGTTCACGGAGGTTGCCGCCTCTCAGACAGTTCGCTCGTCTAGGCGATCATCTGCGATCCGTGAGGACGATTCTACTGAAGTCCTTCTTTCGATTTTTGAGAACATTGACGATCCTGATGCGTACTATGGCCTCCCACAGTCCGCCGATTTTTCAAGTTTCCTGGCTCGATTGGACTACGAGAAGGACGGCTCCAAGAACTTGGTCTTCCGAGGAGCCCAGTACGACAAACACATTCGGACAAGGAACCCCGCATCACAGGTGGATAGCCAGTGTCTTGTCAGAGCTCTCGGTACTTTGGGTCTGGTGGGTCTCTCTCATTCCTTGTTACAGACGCAACAGAGCCACGACGGAGATGAAGCATCCTTGGAGGACACTTTCCAGACAGCACGCCGACTGGAGCTATGGAATCTCCCTGTCCCATCAACCGCCGACAATTGTGCCGTAACCATTTACAAGGCGTATCAGAATGTCCAACAAGCCACTGACACGCTTTCTGTGCGCAATGCCATCTATGCCGGCTTCAGCCAGACCATGCGCAGTCTTGTCAACCGTGGCCTGAATGCAGCCAGCCTTCGCAAGCATCTCGGCGCTCTCGCAGTTTTGACAGAGCTTGATGATATTGCCAACGTGGCTGACTTTTCCGAGCTGGAGGGCATGCTTGGCAAGTTCGAACGACATGGCCAGTGGATGAGGCGCGGAAGGTATGTGAAACCTTGGGGTCCCCCCTGTTTTTCTTCATCCTGCTACATTGCCTTTATCATTGCCTTTATCATTGCCTTTATCATTGCCTTTATCATTGCCTTTATCATTGCCTTTATCATTGCCTTTATCATTGCTTTTACCATTCCACTTTCTGCTCGGGTGTCCGATCTCCCGCTGCCGCTACTCATTGAATATCCCTGCGCGAATCCGATCAAACTGACAAACCATAGGTACGAAGATGTCAGCCACCTACTTTCTTGTAGAGGGACATCATTGAGCTTGATCAGACAGAAGCCCAAGCTTCGCGCCCAGGCCTTGTCAACAGTCGAGGCCAGACAAATCGAGATCCGGTCCATGCTGATGTCATCGGGGATATATCGCTTCCATCAAGCAACGCAAGAGTGTGTGAATCTCTCCACGTTACTTGTCGGCTTGATCGGTACATGCGACGAGCTCGGCGTTAAGGTGGATGCCGCCATCAAGATTGAGACAGCCAACTCAATGTGGGACTATGGGGAAATGATCCCTTCCATTCGCATGTTACAAAGTATCGATAGCGACTCGTCCCTCAAGAAGCAGACAATTCCAGTGAGCCGCTCAGATCTCCTGTCGAAAATTGGCTACCAGGTGTCGGTAGCCAAATTGGAGAACCCTCATGACATCCAGAAAAATTACCTCGAACCCGCTCTCAAAGATCTTAAAGGGAATAGCCAGGGACAGCAAGCTGGGCATGTCTACCATCAATTCGCCATGTTCTGTGACGAGCAATTGCAAGACCAAGACAGTTTGCAGGATCTTGCCAGGCTGCAGACTTTGCGGAAGGGCAAGAGTGACGAAGTCTCTCAACTTCAGGACCTCATATCGAGCACCCGCGATCCCCATCTCAAACAAAGATACCAGGGTCACCTGAATCGCGCTCGGCTATGGCTAGGACTGGACGAGCAAAAGCTCCGTCGCATGGAGCAGACGAGAGGCGAATTTGTGCGGCTCAGCCTGGAAAACTATCTCCTTTCACTTACCGCCTCTGATGAGCATAATAATGATGCCTTACGTTTCACGGCTCTCTGGCTGGAGCGCTCCGAGGAGCCAGAGACCAATGAGGCCGTCAAGAAACACCTCGACAAGACGCCCACGAGAAAGTTTGCAACGCTGATGAATCAGTTGTCTTCTAGACTACAGGATCAACCGAGCTCGCCTTTCCAGAAGCTCCTGATTCAGCTCGTCTACAAAATTTGTCTGCAGCATCCATACCATGGGATGTACCAGATCTGGTCAGGCACAAAGGTGAAGACTCGCAAAGAGGATCAAGTGGCAGTCCTAAGACTCAAAGCCACGGAGAAGGTGGCATCGCTGCTGCAGTCTGCCAAGTCTGTCGCGGCAATATGGCAAGCGATCGATAGGACGAGCTCTTACTACCATCGCCTGGCTGTCGACCGAGATTCTAATAAGTTCAAGGCTGGACAAAAGATGGCGCTCAAGGACGTTCACTCGGCCCAATCGCTTCAAAATGCGCTGGCCAAGTACAAGATCCCGCCCCCGACCATGCAGCTCGAGGTGTCAGCGACCATGGACTACTCGAATGTCCCCATCATCTCAAAGTTAGACCCGCAGATGTCGATTGCGTCTGGAGTCAGCGCGCCAAAGATCATTACGGCAGTCGGGAGTGATGGCAAGAAATACCGACAACTTGTCAAGGGCGGCAACGACGATCTCCGTCAAGACGCCATCATGGAGCAGGTCTTTGCGGCCGTGTCGGATCTTCTTAAACTGCATCGCTCGGCACAGCAGAGAAACCTTGGGATCCGCACGTACAAGGTCCTTCCTCTGACATCGGCATCTGGGCTGATCGAGTTTGTCCCCAATACCATTCCATTGCACGATTTTCTTATGCCAGCCCACGAGAGATACTTTCCCAAGGACCTCAAAGGCTCTCAATGCAGAAAAGACATTTCTAATGCGCAAGGCAAGACTGTCGAGCATCGGATTACCGCTTATAGGAAAGTCATAGACAAGTTTCATCCCGTGATGAAATACTTCTTCATGGAGAATTTTGTCGATCCTGACGAGTGGTTTGCCAAGCGCCTCGCATACACGCGTACGACTGCAGCTATTTCAATGCTTGGCCATGTGCTCGGTCTCGGCGACAGGCACGGCCACAACATTCTGCTAGATAGCAAGACGGGTGAGGTCGTGCATATCGACCTGGGTGTCGCGTTCGAGATGGGTCGCATCCTCCCCGTGCCAGAACTCGTCCCGTTCCGGCTGACACGAGACATTGTGGACGGAATGGGCATCACTGGGACTGAGGGCGTCTTCCGGCGCTGCTGCGAGTTCACACTACACGCCTTGCGTGAGGAGACCTACTCGATCATGACGATACTCGACGTCCTGCGTTACGATCCTTTGTACTCATGGTCCATTTCTCCCGTCCGCCTGGCAAAACTACAGAGAGAAGTACAAGGAGACGAATACAACAGGGACGACGACGAAGGTGATGAAGACGGTGGGAAGGGTAAAAAGGGGCAGCAGGTCAATGAGCCGTCGGAGGCTAACCGGGCTTTGGAGGTGGTACGGGGGAAGTTGTCAACGACGTTGAGCGTAACAGCAACGGTCAACGACCTGATCAACCAAGCGACCGACATAAGTAATCTTGCCGTCCTCTACTCGGGATGGGCAGCGTATGCATAGATAATCAAAGATTTATTCCGAAGATTTTGCAATGCATTCAGTGATCAGTTTTGAAGGGGCGATCACGCCTGCGCCTCTATATCTCTATGCCTGTACAAGGGCAAGAAGAGGGGTGCATAAAGACTGACACAATTAGGTATCTGAAAAGTACGCTATCGCGACGTCTACTAAATGTTATATTAGAAAGGCGACTCTATAGTAATCTTCTTTTAATACGGTACCTTACCCAAGCAAGTGGGCGTTAATCCGATTGCCGCTCTATCGGTACCCTCCTAGGCTATTTTTCTATAATCTATGTGCCTATTATCCCTATCCCTATTCATTCTTTAAAGAGTATTCCCTAATGAATATATAGAGGATAACAACAATAGCAGAAATGGTAGAACAAATAAAAAGAATAAGAATGTTAGGCATATTAAGCAGGTAAGTAGGCGTTACAATCTTGTTAACTAGTACAGACTTGAGTGAAGCATATTGTGGAGTGCCCGGGGACAATGGGATCGGGTGTTTACTGTGGTGGGACCGTTTGACGTGACGACGAGAAGTGAGGTGTGGTGGGGTCCATGTCTTATCTAATCCCTGTCACTGACGATAAGGGGACGTGCTAAATGGATGATGCTAACGACCGTGGTGGTGGTGATTTGTTAATGGCGTCCATAGCTCCGCGTTTAACTCCGCGACAACTCTCCCGCAATCACGACTTTTGTACTCCCCAACCTCTCTGTGACAAGCTTCTCTGCAAACACCCGACAATTCACTCAAAAGAAGATTGCCTTCTACGATTTCACCCCGGCCACCCCGCCCTGCCCACACCATCCCATCTCCACGAGAGCGCATAGTACGTCTGTAACAGCTTGGACAAAAGTTGTTGCAGGGCCACACGGTCCATGCCGTCGAATTCACCCCCCGCAGTCGAGGGAGTTTTGCCATCACGGGCGACGGGAAGGACAGGCGGCGTAGCGCCGGTCAACGACAACCATAACCCTCTACGCCGAAGACCCCGCCAAGATTCCGACGTCTCGCGCTCCGGTTCCGTCGCCCCGCACCAGCAGCAGTTCAACAGACCGAGCCCGAAGCGCTTCAAGTTTGGCGCCGACGACCCTTCCTCTCACAATACCATGTCTACCAAGATGAAGGGCAAGCTACCCGAGGTCATTGACCTGACGCAATCCAACTCGTACCGGCCATATACGGGCGCGAAGAAGCTGATCATCAAGAACTTTCGACATTCGGCGACCAACGAGAAGCTGGAAAAGTACTACGAACGGACCGAGCAGGAATTGGTCGATGCTTTGCACGAGATCTTCAGCGGGCGCAAGCCAAAGCTACCGTTGGAGAGGCTATCTCGGGCCGTGGAAGATATATGCAGGCGCGGCCAAGACAGCGACTTGCAGCTGTACGAGACCTTGCGGCGAAAGTGCGAGGAGCACCTCACCCAAGATGTACTACGGTCAATCAAGTCCCGAGCTGGCAGCACAGATGTAGCCATGCTTAAGAGCGTCCTCGAGCACTGGAGGGTGTGGAATGGCCAGATTGTGAGTCTACGAGGTGATTTCTACGCCCTGGCTTGGCATTAACGCGCGACACAGATGACGATCCGGTCCACGTTCACTTACCTTGATCGTACCTACCTCCTAAAGAATAAGAATTACCTTTCCATCAACGACTTGACCATTTCACAGTTCAGGAGGATGGCGTTCCCGGCTCGCGACGACCCAGATGGTCAGACGCCCGGTGGCAGGGCGTTACGGGGCATGTACGACCTGATCTCGTACGACCGAACAGGGGACGAGCGGTTCGAAGCGGCATTGCTCAAGGACTCGGTCATGATGCTACACGTGTTCAACATTTACACCAAATACTTCGAGCCCCGGTTCATCGAGTTATCAGAGACATTCTTTGAGGACTTCGCAGAGGAGAGGAGCGCGTCAAGCCTGAAGGAGTATATCTCGGCGTGTGAAAGGCTGCTGAAGAAGGAGGACTACCGCTGCAACGAGTACAACCTTGACTCTACAACCAAGAAGCAGCTGCTCGACGCCGCGCACGGTATCCTTGTGAACAAGTATTCCGACAAGCTTCTCAACAGTGAGAGTCTTTCCAAGCTCCTTTCCGACCATGAGGTAGACTCCATGAAGGCCCTGTACGATTTGTTGCGACTGTCCGATATACAGAAGAAGCTCAAGCAGCCCTGGAGCACATATATCAAGAAGACGGGCGCTGCCATAGTTGCTGACAAGGAGCGCGGCGACGACATGGTCCAGAGGCTTCTTGAACTTAAGAGGTCACTAAGCCTCATTGTGCGCGACGCCTATGGCGGCGACCAAGACTTTGTCAACGAGCTCAGGAACGCTTTTGGAGACTTTATGAACGATCGCAGCATTGCAACGACGTGGAGCTCCGGAACATCCAAGGTTGGCGAGATGATCGCAAAGTATGTCGACATGCTGCTTCGCGGTGGAATCAAGGCTTTGCCGAAAACACTTCTGTCAGATAACATCGACCGAGCTGCGGCAGAGCAGAGCGGTATAGCCAGCGCCGGCGACGAAGACGCTGAGCTCGACCGGCAATTGGACCAGGCCCTGGAGCTCTTCCGTTTCATTGAAGGCAAGGACGCGTTCGAAGCGTTCTACAAGAAAGACTTGGCTCGCCGTCTGCTCATGGGTAGAAGCGCTAGTCAGGATGCCGAGCGTAACATGCTGCGGAAGCTCCGCGAGGAGTGTGGTATGAACTTTACTCACAACCTCGAGCAGATGTTCAAGGACGTCGAGGTGGCCAAGGAGGAAATGGAAGCCTACAAGCAGTGGTCGGAAGGCACCGGCGTGGATAGAGCCCCTGTCGATCTGTCGGTAATGATCCTGTCACAGGCGGCCTGGCCAACATATCCCGACGTCAAGGTGCACTTGCCAGACGATGTTGCCAAGCAGATTGAGCGATTCGACCAGTACTACAAGAACAAGCACACGGGCCGGCTGCTCAACTGGAAGCACGCACTAGCGCACTGCACGGTCAAGGCAAAATTCCCCAAGGGTACAAAGGAGCTTCTCGTCAGCGCGTACCAAGCCATCATTCTCGTTCTCTTCAATGAGGTCGGCATCGAGGGCTTCCTCGGCTACGAACAGATTGCTCGCTCGACAAACCTGCAAGGAGAAGAACTGAACCGAACATTGCAATCTCTCGCCTGCGGCCAGGTTCGCGTGCTTACAAAGAGTCCCAAGGGGAGGGACGTCAACCCGACGGACACGTTCACGATTAACAAGGCATTCATACACCCAAAGATCCGAGTTAAGATCAACCAGATTCAGCTCAAGGAGACCAAGGAAGAGAACAAGGCGACACACGAGCGTATCGCCCAGGACAGACGGTTCGAAACACAGGCAGCCATTGTGCGCATCATGAAGAGTCGCAAGGAGATGAGCCACGGCGAGCTGGTTGCGGAGGTGATCAACTTGACCAAGAACCGAGGTGCAGTTGATGCGGCGCAAATCAAGAAGGAAATAGAAAAGTAAGTGACTTCCGTGTCGTTGGCGGAACGAAGCGTTGCTAACACCTCATAGCCTGATTGACAAGGATTACTTGGAACGCGAGGGCAACACTTACACGTACCTGGCGTAGAGAGGTAGTTGGCATTGCGGGACTCGTTCGTACCCAGGGCGTAAAATCACCCTGGTGAGTCAAGTAGATGGCATGGTTGATCTGTCCATATACATAAATGAACTGAATGAAAGAGACGCTGGATGGTTAGGAAACCGGCGTTTTCATGGAACAATGCAATTTGAGTTGGCTCTACTACACTGCCTTCACCGGTGCACTGACCACTCCACCTACACTCGGTGAGCTCGGTGACTGTTGATGACCCCTGTCGGGACCCTGCGGATAATCGTTCCACCTAGCGCATTGCGGGGTTCAGAAAAAAAGTTGCGGCGGCGGTGGTCCCTCCTGCACCTGGGCGCCAAAATTTTGGGAAATTTTGTGCCAAAGGCGGTCGGCCAGAAATATTTCCCATTGTACGGTGCACCGCGAAACCTCGACGACTTGACTTGCGCCGATTCCCACCAACCACCCTCCCGGATTCGACGAAGTACCTCGCCGAGCCGTCCTGCAACTATCAAGGAAAGCCGAATAAGGGGATATTTGCCAATTGTTTAATTTAAGTCGACAACCCAGCACAATCCGCCAAGATGCCCAAGTCAAAGCGCAACAGAGTGGTCAACCTGACCCAGGTGAACAAGAAGACGCGCGAGCAAAAGGACAAGCTCTTTTCCAACATTCGCGAGTCGGTGCCGCAGTACCAGCACTGCTTCGTCTTTGGCGTCAACAACATGCGCAACAACTACCTCAAGGAGGTCCGTCACGAGCTCAACGACTGCAGGTCCGTTCTTTTTACAGCTTCTCTCCAAGTCTACTCAACCCGTGATACCACACCTATGGTGGTGCACCATGGCAGAATACACTGGCTCATACATGAGCCGCCCCTATCTAAACCCACCAAACTAACCTGCCCTGCCACTTAATAGACTCTTCTTCGGCAAGACAAAACTCATGGCCAAGGCCCTAGGCCAAGACCCCTCCTCCGCCGTCGCAGACGGCATCGAGCGCCTCACCCCCTTCCTCGCCGGCACCGTCGGCCTCATCTTCACCAACCGCGACCCGGCCTCCATCCTCGAGTACTTTGACGGCGTCTCCCCCGTCGACTTCGCGCGCGCGGGAACCGTCGCCACCCGCGACTTCGTCATCCCCGCCGGCGTGGTCTACGCCACGGGCGGTGAGGTGCCCGCCGAGCACGACGTGCCCATGGAGCACAGCATCGAGCCCGAGCTCCGACGCCTGGGTATGCCCACGCGCATGGTCAAGGGCCGCGTCTGCCTCGGCGGCGACGACTCTGGCGAGGGCGAGGGATACACCGTCTGCAAGGAGGGCGATGTGCTCGACAGTCGGCAGACGAGGCTGTTGAAGCTGTTTGGGATCTGCTTGAGCGAGTTCAAGGTCAAGGTTCTTGCGTA